AAAATTAATTGAAAATAATAAATTTATATTTTAAAATAAGATATTATGTGAAAAAAAAATGTGAAAAGAATTGTCAAATAAAATCTTAAATAATGTCCTTAATTTAGAGAAAAGTCTTCGTGGGTGACGATTGAAAGATTGTTGAAACTATACCGTTTAAAAGTCATTTTATTCTTTCCTAAGTTTTAGGGTGAGAGTTGATGAATATATATATATATATATGATCTTGGTTACACAATAGGAGGTAAATATTTTTTATCCTTTATCTTATTCAACTTGTATATCATGCAAGTGAAACTCATGATTTTTTATTTTTAACGAAAGAAAATAATCGCTGAGTTATTTAAATCGTTGATATTAATGAGTATAAATTAAAATTATGTAGTTTTAATTTTGGGGACTAAAAATTATTTTTTAGTTGTAATTAATTAATATTTTTCTCTTTAACTTATTTTTTTAAAAATTTTAAGTTATATAATAAAAAATAATTTTTTTATTTATAATTTATTTTATTCATATATTATGTATTAAGATTTATAAATTTTTTAATTAAAAAAATTACCATTAAATTATTTAAATCTTTTCCGTTTAACTTAATCTTTTGTACAATAAAATTCATTCTCAAGCCTAAAGTTGTTGGCCAAAAAAAGAAATCTGCAAGGTTGATTTCTTAGAACGTTAAGTGTACGGTGTGTAAAAATCTGGAATAAAACCTAGTGTAGTGCAATTAACTCAATTTATTTTCTTTTTATCTTTTGTGTACGATATTTTTAGTTTTTTGTTTTTTTAAGACGTAAAGAATGACTTTTGTAGGAATAAGGAAGAAAATGTCATAGAAATAAAATTTAGCCAGAAGGGCGGCTGAATGTTTTTCTACATAGTAACGATACGTGGATGATCTATTTTTATAATTTTTTTTATAATTTTTACATGAAATTAAATAATTAAATATATAAAATATTAAAAATCTCGATAAAGTTAAAAATATTAATAATTAAATAATATGTAATGTTATATAAAAAAATTATACAAAAAAATGATATGTTAATTAATTTTCTTTTCTGTTTAATGCTAATGTTTTTCACATTAATTAATCTAAAAACATGTACTTCAAAATTCAAATGGGCAAGCAGAAACATTTAGAATAATTAAAATATGGAATATATGAAAGTAAACTTAAAATATTTATAATTTTTAAGTCAATTGTTTACTTCTTTTCTTGGGTGGTACAAGAAACGTTGGAATACTTTCGTAAAGAAAGATTCTATTCATGCAAGTTGCTTAGGTGATAACTTGTTTGAATTTTGACATTTCCTTTATCATTTAGCTTTCTAATAAATATTGAGACATGGAGCATGAGATGCCTAAGAATTGTTGAATTTACCCTTGCACAGTTGCACATGGTAACAGAAACTCTAGTTGTCTGCTTACTAGTTCACATTGTAACACGTTAATAATGTGTTGATTACAACCGAAATTATTGTGTTCACTCGTAAGCAAGCCTCTAAGTCAAGCTTAACCTTTCCTTTTTCTTTGTTATAGTGTCAAATTTAGAGTTTAAGTTTTCTAATTATTTCTTAATTTTTTTTTCTAATTAAATTCATTAAATTAATTAACATATGGGTGTTTCTTAATTGGTCATAATCTTCATGTGTGCACAAATTAATCAAAGAACACCCCAAAAAGTTTAAGCTTTTTTTATTCTTTGTTAAAGTGTTAAATTCAGAATTTAAGTTTTATAATTATTACTTAAAAAAAATTTTAAATGCACTAAATCAATATATGAATGTATCTTAATTGCTCATAATCTTCATGTGTGCATCTTTACTGCTCTTAATCTTCCTGTGTGTGCAAACTAATAAAAAACACCCCCAAAGGTCAACAAGAAAACTTGTTTATGACACAAAGTACCTAGAATTCATCATTTTAATAAATTGGTACTCCTTAGTCTCAAAATAATAAGTGTTTTTCATTTACAATTTGTTTTAGTATAATAATAATTTTTTTCATATTTTAAGAGAAACAAATATTTTTTTACTTTAATTTATTGTTATTTTTAATTATATTATCTATCTTATCATAATTTAAGTCTTATTATTTTTATTCTTTTAAGGGCAATATGGTAAAATTATAAATTATTTTTAAATTTTTAATTTAAAGATAAAATAAAAAATTTATTATTTTGAAAAAAAAAAAGAGTTGTAATTTTTGAACCAAAAATGTGAGAATGGTAATGATTTTTATTTTTTGATTCTTTTATACTCATTACTTACATGTGGATGTCACCTTATTTTAATATAAAAAATGATATGTCACCTTATATATATATATTTATTATAAATTGTATAATGAAAGATAATTTTTTCTTATCTTTTAACTTATTTTACTTGTATATCATGTGATTTAAATTCAAAATTTCTTATTCTCATTAAAAAATATCATTAATTTATTTAAATTATTAACATTTTTACTTTATTAAAATTTATGACATTAAATATATTTACTTATTTAATTAAAATATAATGAGATAATAACCATATACGCATCATGTTAGAAATGAGGGTGAAAAATTCACCACCAATTTTTAAAATATGCATTATGGCCACACTATAATGGAGCGTTAAACTTTGTTTGGACCCTTTTGTCCCTGACTATTTTCCCTTCATTTTTCACATATTTTCAAAATTATCATTATTTCGCCATTTTTGTCCTTTTCTTATTGATGGGACATTTTATCATTTTTTTCTTAATGTTTATCACATTTTCTCAGGGATAATCATGACAAACTATTATGGCCCCTCAAAAAATCATGACTAACCATTATGGCCCCTCAAAAATCATGACTGACTATTTACCTTGGACTTGTTTTATTAAAAATCACCAAACTTTTACCGAAGCTATGATTTCATCTACATTTATAGGGCTTGACACTTTGGGTCTGTTTGGTTTTCATGGAATTCAGCAAAAGAATCCTAAGATTCTTGCTGTCATATTGCCCTAAAATTCTTTTATCCAATACTTAGTTTAATTAAGGAGAGATTAGGATTTAGTCAACTAATAAAACTCTTTTGTATTTGAAAATTTACCTTCTTGGATTGAAGCTCTAGCAGATTATTAGTTTCCAAAGAAAGTTTTTAGATAACTAATTAAAATCGTTCTAGAAAATTGTTGAGTTAACTAAATATATCAAGCAAAAGAATTTGGCAAAACCATAAGTTAAGCCCCTAAACTAGCCTCAGAATCGCTATTAAGCCCCTAGACTTTAATTGATGCAGTTAAGCCCTTGAACTCTGGGATCAAAGCAATTAAGCCTTTTTTCTTACGCTATAAAGCCCCTAGACTTTAATTTTTAAAATAAATTGCTTAAGAAGAAGGGCTTAATTGCTTTGATCCCAGAGTTCAAGGGCTTAACTGCATCAATTAAAGTCTAGGGGCTTAATAGTGATTCTGGGGTTAGTTCAGGGGCTTAACTTATGGTTTTGCCAAAGAATTTTGGGGCACTAGGGCAACCAAACACTCCCTTTTGGCCTTGACAATGGCCTCCACAGTCCTCTATTCTAACTTAGATTAGAGTACCCTTTCTATTTTTCAATAAAGTATTGTTGACTTGATAAAAAGAAAATTTTGTTAATAGTATGAAAAACTGAAGTCACACATCATGTTCTAGAGATTGGAATCCATCATTTTCCCTGGTTTGGTGAAATTAATTAAGTCAAATTGTTAATATTCAAATTTGGCATGCAAAAATTAACATTAAGAAAAAAAAAAAAGAATGCGATCAATAATTTAAATAATTTAGTGATAACAAAAGTAAGAGATCTTCAATTTAAATGACATGATATGCAAGTGAGATAAATTAAAAGATAGAAAATTATTGTCTCCTATTAAGCAATTCTAAAATAAATAAATAAATCATGCAAAGATATTTCTAAAGTTGACTCATTAAATTGACAAACTCATAACTCACAAGAGTCACAAATTCAACTAAGGTTATATTATTAGTAGCTTAAATTTTTTTATACATCAGAAAAAGTTAGATGTTTGGTATCGTATATGTTTGATTTTTTATTTTATTTATAAATTAAGCTCTTAAAATTAATGGGTAAAAACTTGGGTATTTTTTTGTTGGTTATGTGACCTATACTAATTTATGAAGAAAATTGAGCAAAAATTAAATTGCAACATATGTGAAAAAAGATGAGATACAAAACACTCATCTAGAATTTTTCTCTCCTTCCTATATTGGACACATGCTAAAAAGTAAATGCTTAATTAAGATATATATGCAGGGTTTTCAAAGAATTAAATGAATATCCAAACTATCCTAAATCTAAGTTTGATTATATAGTAATATGTCATTTTCATTCTCAAATTTGATTTCCGGTTTGTTTCTAAAATTCTTTTCCCAACAGGAAGCATGAATTGATTAATTTATGTGTACGGGAATTAATATGGCAGGAAAAGATATTGATATGTGGAATGGAATTGCCGCTTTCTCACTTGCTAATGCTGGAAACTAAAAAGTCTTAATTTGAATGTTTAAAGAAGACAACCGTTATTTTGTAAATTAGATATATATGATATCATCTAAAGAGATTTTTTTTTTTTTTTGGATAAAGATAACATTAGTTAAGTGTTAATATCTGTTTATAAATTAATATTGAAGTCGAAACTGGGTGAGTTTTACCTGCTACTCTTTAGAGTAACGTGTGGGGGAGTTCAAAGAGAGATTAAATTTTCTTGCAATGTTCTAAACTCATTTAAGGAATGTACTATTGAGATGGTTGGAAGTTATTAAGATTAAGATGTGCGAAAATTAATTTGAGAAAAGCTAACTGGCAGTCTTCAAAGTTATAAACAAGCCAAGTTTTGTTGTCCCACTTCTTTTTTATCAGCCAATAAAAACAAGTCAACTTTTGCGAATCAGAACATTTTCTCAATGACTTTTCGTTAGTCGTGTAGATATCTTTTCTTATTCAACATCACCCATCAAATTTTTCTACCAAAAAACAAAACATCACCCATGAAATTTACTAATATATATCATCTACGTCGAAAATGACCGTATCCTTTGACTTTTTGTAAGTCGTTCTCATAGATATCTCTTCAAATCAACATCGCCAAATCTCAAATTCAGCTGGGCCGGTAAAAATAAATTTATTTAAAAATAATAATTTTTTTAAATAATTAATTAAGATAAATTATTTATTATTTAATGTGTCACATCATCGATTTTTTTGTTAAAAACAAAATTCAATGAGAAATTAATGAGTTATTGATGTGGAATGATATTATATATTAAATAATAAGTGATTTATTTTAATTAATAATTTATGAGGGCAATTCATTTTTTTTTTTTTTGAGAAATAAATCTGTTCCTTTGTTCCCATCATCCTATTTAAGGGACAGATTTACAGATTTGGCCATTCAACATCACCCCACACAACTCACAAATTTATGAACATCCAACACATTGTGAGTATTCCCACTTTGGCTCCCCTAGCCCTAATCTCATAAATATTGCCTCAATCGAGAATGGTACACATAACTAATTAGAGTGATTATTTGTATAAAATGGTCATACTGGTGATGACAAAAAAAATTAGTCATGCAGTTAGATATTTCAAAAAATATTATGCAATTTTGATTGTATAATTTAAATTATTAAAAACAAATGAATCTCTTAATATTAGAATGATTTTTCTATCAAACAATTATAATTTTATAATTTAAATTGTGAAACGTTTAAATGTTTACACTTGTCTTCTCCTCATAATTTAAATCACTTTAACAAAAGGTACGGCAATAAATTGAAAGTAATATATGACTAATTAAAAATAAAATTTCCATGCTTTTTTCCACAAAATAAAATTCAATATATCATGATCATCAATAAACATGATAAACAACATTTTGTCAATATGTTAGGTTTTTTAGTCAATGATAGTTAAAAAAATGTTTTCAGTCAATGCAACGTGACCAAGGACCATAAACCCTATATTCTCTTTACACTATAAAAACATGCTTTTCTGCAAATATTCTCTAATGGAGCAGACCTTTGAGAAGATGGAAAACATGGAGATTCAGAAGATGAGTAGTAGTACTACCTCTGCTTCCAATGACAACGAAGAAAGTGATGTTTTGCTGCCCGGGTTTCGGTTCCATCCAACTGATGAAGAGCTTCTAGGATTTTATCTCAAAAGGAAGGTGGAGAAGAAACCTCTCAGCATCGACATAATCAAACACGTTGATATCTATAAATACGATCCTTGGGATCTTCCAAGTATATATATCTTGTTCTTCTCTTTTTTTAATACATTAGAAGTTAGTTGCTTGACAAGATAAACAATGTTTTTTTCTTTTAGTCCTCCATCGATTTTAACTTTTTTATTGGCAAACTGTTTTTTTTTATTTTTATTTTGTTGATAAAACAAATTGTTTCTATGAATATTAACTCGACTAAACTTTTATTATTTCAATACATCTTCTATTCATATGATATGGTATTTTACATTTGCAGAAGTAAGCAAACTGACCACCATAAGTGAAAAGGAGTGGTATTTCTTCTGTAGGAGAGGGAGGAAGTATAAGAACAGCATAAGGCCCAACAGGGTGACAGTATCTGGATTTTGGAAGGCAACCGGCATAGACAAGCCTATCTATTCCGTCGGAGGAACCCACGACTGCATTGGCCTGAAGAAAACCCTAGTCTACTACCGGGGAAGTGCTGGAAAAGGAACCAAAACTGATTGGATGATGCATGAGTTTCGCCTCCCAACCAATATCAAGAAAGACAACTTTCAAGAGGCTGTAAGTAATTTCAAACTTCTTCGAATATTCATACTAGATATAGTTAGAAAACGTCTTTTCAAGTCATCTTAATATTTTTAATGTCATGGCTTTCTAGATTTTGAAATATATGTATACTAAATATTTTTAATGTCATGGCTTTCTAGATTTTGAAATATATGTATACTGAATTTTTCTTATATTATATATAAAAAATTATTTTATAGTATGAACTGTTTCGAATTATAAAACAATAGACTTTATTATATGTATATACTAATTTTCCATGTTATGATCTAATTTCCTTTATGGGATTTTGCAGGAAGTTTGGACACTTTGCAGGATTTTCAAGAGAGATGTTTCATATCGAAAATATGCATCAGATATCCAGAAAAGTTCTTCCAAGCAAAGCACTGCCGCTTCAAGCTCTAATGATATGGCATGCAGTTTCGAGTCAAACAATGGGGGCAGGGTTAAGGAGATTGAAATGGAGCTTGTCAATGATCATTTCTATAACAGGAACCAAATGTTTGCAGCAACAGCTCATCATCAAGTAGCTCCATTTCCGATGTCGTTTTTTGGAGAAGATCAGAACTGGGATGAGCTAAGGCCAGTGGTTGAGTTTGCTCTTGACCCAACACTGCTTTATGGTTACAGGTAGATTGAGCAATATGGTAGATTCAAAATAATGTCAGAGGGACTCTAATAGACTTACCTAAGCCTTCTTTTGCTCTAATTTCCCTTGGTTTTTTTGTTTGCCTGTAACTGTAACTAACAGCAATGATGGGCAACTTACTTGCTCACTCAGTGCAAATAAGCATTAATTATGTACTCCTCTTTTTTGGGTAATTGTTCAGATTAAAATCTAGCTACAAAACTAAAATAAACAACAAATAGCCAGAAAACTATTGTTACTAACTCCTAAAAGGAAAAATGGGGGCCAGCACAAAAATAAAGGGTAACTCAAGTTACCACATCAAAGGGTATGATTTCTAGTGTTAATCAGCTATTCTTCCGAATTTTCATTTATCCATCATCCAAAATGGTCGT